TTTCCCTTCAGGAGAGCATGGTTTGGCACAGCTTCTTTCCATGGCACGCCACCCAAGTCTGAAGGGGGTTGCTGAGGCTGCAGTAGTTCATCATCTTCCTCCTCATCCTCCTCCTCCATCTCAGACTCTGAACTACTGTTTAAAAGAAGGATAAGGCAGCAACTTGTTAATGTTTCTTGATGAGTCTACATATGACTGACAAGACATGTCAATATATAAAGGCCCAAAACATACAGTGGAAACCATAACACTTGTCACCTTCTTTCAATATTTCATAGGCATTTTAGTTACAGCTTGGTTAGCGGGCTGCAGTATGGTCCATGCCCTGCTTCTTTTCACAGAGCACCTATGAAACTGCATCCAAATATTTGCGCAGCATTCATTGTTACAGTACCTGAACATACTTAAGTCCAGTGAAAAAAAGTAACTTTACCCATTCCACATTGCTTTGTCTGCACCAGTGCATAAGAGTGCTTGGCAGTGTCAGAATGTAGAAGGTGATATCTTTTGATGGTGACAACTACTGCTGGCATTTTGGATAGCTAGGGCATTTTTGGCACTTGCTGGGGACAGCCACAGAAGGCTTTAGGAACAGAAAGAACATAACGCGCAATACAACTATCAGGCCAAAGCATACCGCACGTGAGCTAAGGACATTTGGAGAGAAATGCAAAATTCCACACTTCTCCACATCACGGACAGCACTACCATATGCATCCAGTTAAGTGCAGAGCGTACATAGTGGCAAGAAACGGCAGAAAACACTGCAAGGACAATTGCAATAACATGCCTATTATTCTCACAGTGAAGTCTAAAACATGGAAAACAAGACATATATATCATTAGCACTTTTTAGCAGATATCTTTGCTTAACTCCAGTAGTTCCTCAGTATAAGCTGCAGGGGCAAGAAATGTAACTGCCTATAAAATGACATGTAATCTAACCCAGTCTTACATACTGGACTATCCAGAGATAGTTGGGAGAAGGATGGTTGTATTTCACACTGGAAAATGAATGTGACCCACAGTACATTCAGAGAATGCATCTGCAGAGCAAAAAGGTATTCTTCCTTTGTTATTCTTTAACAGATCATTGTCAGAAAAAACCTGCATTTACTACAGCAATAGTTGGGTGCTTCCCATATAAATCTTAATAGGCCCAGAAAACTGTTTGTGAATGGTTAAAATTTGGGTGAGTCATCTGAGAACAATATCCTACTCCTGCTGCTTCCTTATGACAGCTGTCACTGTATTCAACAAACTATTGCCTTCGGCAGAACCCTTTCCATACAGACAACGAGAGGGAAAGCTGGCAAGCTGAAAATCAAGAAGAATGACGTTTAAATTCCACGCAAGTCTGTAAAATATAAACAGTTGTTGTAATTTCATTTCCCATACACAGATTTTTATTACCTGAGCGCTCAACATGTGACATACTGACACTTTCTAGAAAATGCTACAGGGCAGCATCTTTCTCTTATACTGTTAATAAACATATTCAGGTGCAGATTTCAACTCTACTCTAACACTGCGTAAATATATCATATTTACATAATTTTATTCATCCACTTGCCTGAGAGACTATTTTTGTTAAAGAAGTTAATAAACAAAACATCATTGGTTTTTCTGTGCTCTGACTGTCATATATGCCTGTCTGTAGGCCCTTAAATTCTCCCCACTGTTTTGCATAGATATAACACGATTCTGATTAATATAAAATGCTCAAATTATAATCCACTTTTCCACAGCGTAAACTGATCACTTATTTTTAACTGTCTGCCCCTGTTTTCACACAGTAAATACCAAACACAAACGCTGTTGTGTGCCAGAGACTCAGTGTATATTCTAGGAGACTGAAGCATACTCCAGAGGCTAAATTACGCAGACATTCCCATAGAGATAAAAAGTGACGATCCTTTTCTCCCTCCTCCCTGACTAACAGCACACTTTCCTACCCTCCAGTATGGAAATAAACCTGACAGGTGCTGCATGCTGGGTTTTCAGTGTGCTGGCGATAAGGTTTACTGCTGCTTAAACTGTTGCCATGACTGCTGAATGGGTCGAGCTGCTGTTCTTCAACCAGCCTGCTTATCTCATGTAATATTGACGACATAAATTCTTTACCGCATAGCTCACTTTACCTTCTTTGGCATTTATTTATAAACGTGCTTTTTGTCTGACCTTGGAATACTGAGAAATGCAAAGCTGGGTGGCTGAGAGACGACAGTGAGATGGCCTGGTAGAGCAGGCATTCCTTTTAACGTGGTCGTTCTGCGCCACATGAAATAATTCAACAGCCGAGACTTTTTTTTTCTATAAAGCAGTGATCAAAGACTAAATGCAGGTTACTTTATGGAATTTGAACAGCCAGTTGAATAGCTCTATAAAAAAACGTACCTACAACACAGACTTATTGCTGATGAGATGCACCAAAACCTAACCCACGCAAACTAAACTCTTCTATTCCCTGGCCGTACAGGTCCAACATAGCATAAGCTGTCCTATTGCACTCCTTTCAAAGACCACCTTGACAGAATATTACTCTATAACCAAAATGGCAGATGACATACTGCCAAGTGTTACTTAAAGTGGATGAATAAAAGCATTTAAAGGGCTTTCTACCCCTCAAACACTGTGTAGTCTGAGTTGGGTTGTTTAAATGAGTTTTTCCTGTTGAGTTGATGCTTAAGCAAGACTACCTCTCTTTGGAAAAAACAAACTTCAAATATTGTTTCCCAGAAGTTTCTCTGCTATGTGCATGCTCACGTGTGTGTGTTGGGAAGCTCTGTGTCAGAAAGTACAGTCTCTTTCTGGTTTACAGTGTGTAACTGCATGAACCTTGAAGGTCAGTCTGTTAGTCCGTAAGACACAAAGAGAACAAAAAGTTCTGCATTTACTCAGTAAGCTCCTAACCCTGCAGCTAAGCACCAAGACACTGAGTAAAATCAAATTAGGGCTTTGGCTGGTTGGCTGCAGGCGTCAAAAATTTTTTCTTTCTTTGTTGCAAAAGTGGTCACGCTTTTTCCTGACTTTTCTTTGCCTTTCTGCAAAGCACGAGGGATTGGGTATAGCCAAATACAAAATACCAGGTGACTACATCACCTAAACAATTCTCTGATGTTTGGCCTACACAGCCTAATCAATGCTCCAACTCAAATTGCTTGCCATATATGAATTTGGGACAGAGATTTTTCCAGGTCAAATGGACAGGAAATGTAATATATTTTCTCTTTCCTCTTCATTATAGAGTGTGAGCTGCCCACTAAACACTGTCTTGAGCAGGCAAAATTTAACAGTTCAGACTATCTGTGCAGGAAGCTAAAGGAGAGATGAGTAAAGCAAACAGAATTTGAGCTGCTCACAAAATGCTCCAGAGAATATTCAACTATTCAACCTGGACAAGATCTCAGTTATGAAAAATGCATCTAAACAGCATCTTTTAAAGACACAAATATGTTAAGAAACTAATTAAAAGTGTTGTTATAGTTCCAGAGAAAACAGGTGTACAAGATAACAGCAATCCCCAGACACTTACATTAAGTCTCACACTCCTGAGTCCAAACTCACTAACCTACCAAGAGAGGAAGAGTTCAGGCTATAAAAAGCTATTCCTTTCTAGATGCTGCCTCTTCAAACTTATCTTATGAGATGACTTGGATTCCGTACTACCATAATCCTATGAACATTTAAATGAACAATTTTATTCCTGCATTCTTCACCACACCAATTTAATTCAATTTCACAGGCATAAAAGTAGTAAGCAATTTCTTACACAGCCCTACACCTGTATGTATAGAGTATGTACAGAGTAAGTTTGTAACCTCTGAGTCTCAGGAACCAGTAGCAGAATTATCTGAGTTTATTTCAAAAGGACTATTGGACAGACTGAGAGCTGAAAAATTACAGGTTACGGCTGCTACAAATAAAAGTATATGATTAGAAACCATATTAAGAGATCAAGATGGCAAAATATACGTGACTGACTATAAATGTCACAGGTGTTCTTCATCAATATTTTCTCTCAGTTGTTCTTGCAGCAACCAATATCCATGCCTGTAAGTATTTGAATTCTGGCATGCCTGTACATCACTTTATAGATAAAGGGAAATTTGTGAAGGTGTGGTGCATTATTTTTCAACAGCCATACCTATTGCTTCAAACTAAGATCTCTCTGGCATTGCGACAACATTCAGTCCCGGCTGCATGAACGTCAAACTTAAGCTTTAAACCACAAATGTTTTTGAACTGAAATGCAAAATAGACAGAAAAACGGTTAACTTTCGAAACCATCCCTCCTTTTCAATCCATGTTCTGTTGCTCAGATGACTACAATCCTGTTGTCTTTAATGCAATCCCATCCTCACCCTAATCCCTTCCAATTTAGGACTGGTTTTCATGGTACGAAAGTACTACCGGTACCTTTTTAAGAAAGTAAGTAATTTAGAAGAATAGAAACTCTAATACAAATTATCTATGTACACATGCACAACATTTTCGAGAACTCTGAAAAGGGCAACCTGGTAAATTATACGTGGGAAAAAAGCTAAAGGAACAGCTGGCAAAAGTCTGTTGGGATAGGATGTAAAAAACTTATGGATAACGTGTGCTAACCTGCTGGGCACATCATCTTCTGTTGCTTTGTCTAATACACTGCTCAGGTTATGTTCTGCTAGTGTCTCTTCAGGAACCTCTTCCAGTTCTTCTTCCCGTTGCAGTGACAGTCGATAATTCTCCAGCTCAATCCGCTCAGGTGTGCCACGCAGTCGCTTGGCAAGGCTAGGCTCTTCCAGCCCATTTACATTAGCACCTAAAGAACAAGCCAGTGAATAAACAATAAATGCAACAGTCAGAACAGTATTTTCTTAAGGAAACTGAGCAATTGGGAGAAACAGGGCATGAGGCAGAGGGAGGTAAATCAAGTGAGAGAAAGAGAATACCTTATGTCATTATCCTGTTCGCAACTACAGGCAGAACCTGCTGGGGAGACAGACTGCAAAAGGGAATCTTAACGGTTTTGGCTAACAGATGCTAAAAAGAATGTTGAATGTCCTAGTTGAGAGAGGAAATAAGGACATTTTAGCTGCATAAACCAGAGCTGCAGTGGAGCGTATTTGGTAAGGATTGCGGAAGGCCATAGACTGGGAGTCTAAATGCTATAGGACAATCCTGCTGTGTAATGCTAAAATTGTTACCAGTCAAGTCGGGTAGAACTACAGAGTCAGACAGCATGAAAATATTGCTAATGCTTAAAGTAAAGCAGAGGGGGAGAAGCAGAATGAAAAAGATCCACTCGGGGAAAGCTTTCAAACTTTTTCTAGACTTGAATTTATTTTTTATCAGAGCATGTGATGAAATACGCCACAGGGAAAAATCTAGCTGAGATGTTCCCAAGCACAAATCCCACAGGTCCCAGAAAAGTGAAAGCGCGTGTGAATCAGCTAGTTGGAGAAAAGAAGTCTAAAGAAGCTTCATTCACTGTGGCAGTCAATGAATTACATTTGAACCCGCATTCAACCATCTCTTTAAAATTCTAGTATTTTAGCTTAAATAGCATGCCACTGTTTTACCCTTATCCAGCTTAGTATTTACAGAGACCAATCTTTCCCAGCCGCTGTTGTGCTGTGCTAAAGGAGCCAAGCCTTTCTCTCATGAGATGAGCTCTTCAGTCTCCTGATCATCCCCTAGCTCTCTGCACCTGTCCCAGTTTGGATTACTCTTTCCAGAACCTGCATGGTTAGAATCGTATACAACTTTCCAGATGAGGTCTTATCAGTGTATCACGCAGCTCTGCCAGAAATCTCTCATCTGATAAGCCCTGAAGAGCACGTTTGCCTATTTATATGCCACATAACACTGGTGGCTTTTATTTAGTGACTGATATTGAGATCTCTCTCCTTCTCTACTTTCAACTGATAAGCACCTTGCTGGTAGCCAAAATTCTCAACGCTTTCTTGGTGCATGACCTGGTACTTTATACTATTAACATTTCTATTTTTCATTGTACAGTCTACAAAATTTTGCTGTTCTTAGTATATGACATTCTTCTCCTCCTCTGCATTGATGATGCTTCAGAATGTTTCCTCAGCAGTGAATTTCATCAGCAGATTTCCCCTTTTTTTTGCCAATAGCACTAGTGAAAATATTAAAAAGATCAGTCCCCAGATTATTTTTTGTGAACTCCATATTCTGTAGGCGTCATCCAACCCCATTATTTCCTCTTTCAAGAAAACCACTGCTCTCTCATTGAAGCCAGCACCGTCCGTACTACTCCTTCATTTCACCCAGTTTAACTAGTAATTTCCATGTGGCAGTTTTCAGGTGCTTTATTGAAGTCCTACCTGATCAGATGCACTACCTTTCCCTTACGGAGGTCGTCAGTTACCTTATCAGCAAAAGCTGTCAGGCTAGTCTGGCACAGACTTTGGTGAACCCATGTCACATTTTATACCACTTACCTTCATGAGGTCAAACTGTTTCATTTGTAGAACCATCAGTCTTTACTCTTTTCCTTCACAGAAAGTGCTTTACCTACCGTTTATATTAAGGGATATGCATTCGTTCAGATAACCTTTTTTCCTTTTTGTCTTTTTGTTTATACACAGGCCACAGTTTTGTCACCCAGTGAGGTGACAGTCAGGGTATAACAGGATAACCCGATTTGATTACAAATCGTTACTGTAAAGGTCACCAGCTCTTCCAGTTTTCTGAGACAGAGCTTATTTGGTCTCATTTTGCTTCCACTCATTACAGTGCAGTAAGATTTGAATTTTACTTCCAGTTTCATTGGGTTAATTTCCATTTCCAAACTTTTCTACATATTAACTAACTTTTTTTTGCTCCCATGTTCAATGCCATCGTCCCAACTGAAACTGGAGGCCAAATATTCATTTAATTTCCGGGTTGTACCTAAAACTGCAATCAATCCCAGCCCCATCTTCCTTGTGGACCCTCTTCCATTTTTCCTCGTTTTCCTTTTCAAACACAGATAAAGAATACGGCTGTTTGCTTTCTTTTCATCTGCAAAGTCTAATTCAGCATGAACTTTGGCAATGTTTACTTTATCTTCACACTTTCTGACCTCCAAGACATTTTCTTTTTCCTTTTTTTTGTTGTTTCTCAGTCTATTCCTAACAGGTTTTTTTTTTGAGGCACTTATCCACCCAGTAACATCTTATTCTTTCACACAAAAGACTACACAGGCCTCGCCATAATTAGCGGCAGTTATTTTCCAAACCTCTCCGGAAAGATGAAATCTTCCGTAAAGAAAATTGCCAAGAGTGTTTTTCTCTCTTGCTTAACATGATGGAACTCCTTCCTCTATGACGTGGGCAAGTGACTGCTGCGCCCAAGGCCGGAAGCACGGAGCTTCTTTACAGTACAAACCACAGAGGCCTGCTCAGGTGAAAGGCTGGGGCGTTACCTGGCATTTCCAAGGATACTGTGGTCTCTACCATTTCCTCTGCTAAACCTCATGTTGTGTAGTTTTTATAAGTTTAATGCAACTGAACTGCATTTTCGGCTAGGATTCACATTTCATTTCACTCTCTCTAGATGGTGGCACCACTTCAGCCAAAGCTATTTTTACAATCTGTGTTACATTCCCCAACCCTGAGTTCACAGTAACAAGGGAACTGACCTGGAATATTGCTTTGCCAGTTCTGGCTGACAGTGAAAACCCAAAGGATGCTGGGTAATGGAAGAGCACCAAGGTGAGAGAAAACAAAGGAAGAATATACTAAATCATCATAAAACAAGAGTTTTTCTACTTGGAACGCTATATACAGAACAGAGCACTCAGCTAGGACCAGCTCCTTCAACAGAAATC